TATATATATATATATATATATATATATATATATATATATATATATATATATATATATATATATATATATATATATATATATATACATATATGTATATACATCTAAAAGTTTTCCAAAAAAAAAGAAATCGATAAAATGACATCGCTTACCTTATTTACTCGTTTAAATTAAGCACCGACCCCAACTGAGCGCCGCCGCCGATCACTAGTGCCGCATGTGAGAGCAAAATTATTCAAGAGCGCCGCCCTCAAATAAGCGCCGCACTTATTCACAACAACGCGGCGCTTAACCGAAGAACTGTCTGAAGAATTGTTCGTGACATCTTTAACAAGCCTCGGAACTTTTTGTGCATTTCAGTGGTTTCATGTTCTATTTTGTTTATAATATTTCTTGTTATCGCTTACAAATAAAATATTTTATAAAGAGCGCCGCTCTCGAACAAGGCATCCGTAACACTAAAAAATTGAATGTGGTCTGCCACCCTGAAAACATTTTATTTCAAATTAAAGTTTTTGTCATCATATTTGAGTCAAGTCTGATAGATAATGCTTAGCTAACACAGGATCAGTAACTTTTATATTAGTCGTTGTCATAGTAAATAAGATAGGCCTTCTTACAGGGTAAAATATAGAGTCCAGTCATCCAACAAAAGAAATTAAGACCATGCACCCTGACCTTCTTAAAATTTGTTTCGCGACTAGTGTGGTATTCTCTTTTGTTAACCAGGGTCAAGTTTCGCAGTGATGGACAATTTGACGGAGAGTGAGCGAGTGAAATTAATAGAATTTCAGAAGCAGCTTGATTTAGCAGAGACACATATACTTATTTTTATCGCCATTTTTACCGTTCTGGGCAACACTATGGTTTTGGTTGCTACTTGGAGAGAACGAATTCTTCATCAACCAAATAAATATTTTATTGCTTGCCTGGCTGTTGCTGATCTTTTGGTTGGTATGTTTGTAGTACCACTAAAGCTGTATAATTACAATATCGAGTCGAGATCTGTTCATCTATGTCGTTTTATAGTGTGGATAGATACCATCGCGTTAATAGCATCTATTTATTCACTGACGTTCATCAGCTTCGACCGATATGTTAAAATCAGGAAGCCACTTCAGTATAGATCACAAATGACAACTTCCAAATCATCGAAAATCATCTTTATCATTTGGTTCATTTCAACAGCCTTTGCCACCTACGCCGCCACTCCCCATTCAGGAAGCTGGGGAATCTTGCTTACAAGAAGTAATCTTTGCCCCTACGATGATACGAAAGAAAAAGGATTCTATACTTTTCTGGCAGTAAGTGCGCTTTTTCTACCCAGCGTAGTCATACTGGTTATGTACGCTCTAATTTATGTTGTTGTTCATAAACGACAACAGATGCTGCGAAATGGCGAGCTGAGTCAAACTCGTAATGATCAAAACCAACGAAGTGCCTTTCTTCAAGATCTGAAGGTTATCCGAATGTTATTGATTGTCGTGGGAGTGTTTATACTTTGCTTGTGTTGTACTATCCAAATGCTATTGATCTGCATGGCGGGTCATTCAGCTACAGACGTCGGTCCGTCGCAATTCATTTAGCCGTATGCACACTTCCTTATTTTAACAGTCTATGCAATCCAGTAATTTATGCCTGTCTCGACCAAACGTATAAAGAAGCTTTCAAAAATCTCTTTAAGCGAATGATGTGCCGAACAAGCTCAAGCATACGACGACCACCAAACGAAATAGAGTTACGTCCAGTGAGAACAAGATAAAACAAGATTTCACTTTAATTTTCTAATTCCGAATTGGGAATTAAATTACGGAAGCTCGCTAAAATTTTAAATTAACGTTATAGCGCACAACTCTGCTTAAAGACCAATTATTTCCTCAGTTTGCAATACTGGATCACGAAGCTTGCACAGATTCGAACATTGCTTAAATATACTGCTGACTACGAAAAACAAAAAAATTAAGTATTCGCGTTGCCATGGTAACGTATTTGAATTTCAACGAAACTCATTTATTGTCTGCACATATGAAGGTAATGTATAGGTAAGGAAATTGTCTGCGTATATGAAGGCAATGAAAAATCAGGATTTAAATTTTCCCCGCGGGACTATTGTATTGTATTGCATGTATTTAATCATCTTTATACACGGTAACCTATCAATTGACATTGATTTTCATAGGGCCGCGTATAATCTTTACGCGTGGACCTAATATTTTGTATACTTTCTGTCTGTATACGCGTACGTGTGGATTTACTTTTTTATTTACTATTTTATTTACTGACTTCCATAATACTTGTGATTTGTTTGAGATTATTGAAAACAGAATATTATACAGCAGAGGGTGTATAAAAAAAGTAGACAATTTTGAAACGGCTCTCGATTTCACAAATTCGTTCATTTCATGAAGTTTTTGATAAATATAGCTTGTTTGGGTACTTACTGTATAATGTAGAATAAAAAAAAAATTTCGTAAAGATAAACTTTCCAAAAATTTCGTAAAGATAAACTTTTGTTCTTGTTGTCTCGCACTTTCCTTTTTAACAGCATTAAAAATAGCTTGTATGCGAGCGAATGAAATTTTAAAACGCGTCTGAGTTCATGCGTGATAGGCATTGGTGCAAAAAATGAAAGTTTCTGCAGATATTTAAATAACTTAAAATTGAGTAAATTTTCTAATATTTGAACCATTGATAAAGCACACAACAAATTTCTCGCCCATGAGCTCAAAATGCGTTTCAAACTTTTTAATATTTATCTTTACGAAAAAATTTTGTTACTTTACATTATAAGTACCCAAACAATCTATATTTATCAAAAATTTCATGAAAGGAACGGATTTGTTCAATTGAAAGCCGTTTCAAAATTGTCTACTTTTTTATACACCCTGTATATAACACAATATACGAGGGTGAAAAAACTTTCCCTAAATATAAACCTTTCTAAATTTGCACTTTTTGTGACAATCAGTATAAAAACCTGTATTCAAGACGGTTAAAATTATGTCGCTAAAGATCCATTTCATGGAGTGGATCAACGTTTATATAAAAAAAACACTAAACGATTCAACTTGAATAGGCTACACGTACGAACAGCTAGTAAGTTTTGATATTAGCTATTATACAAATATATATTACCGTGACACATAATAATGTGTTATTACAGGAGTCCAGCATTTTAAAGAGCAAGTTTTAAATTGTTGCTGTATCAAAAAGACGATCCGAGAATCAACTTCAAATTCTACAGATAACTGTAGGGAGTCTCCTTAATCTGTATGTTTGCTGAATCTAGTAAAAAAAATTGGAAATTTTGTTTTTAGTGCCAAATTGTGATAAATATGTTGTTAAATGTGACCTTCAAGTCATGTAGGGACAGAAAACCTAGCACAAGTTTGTCCTACTTTTGCGGAGTGGGAAAAAGTTATGAAATCAGAAGCTATATCATAATCATTATCACGAACGAATATCACAATTAACAGAGCACGGACCAATAAAATGGTAACAGGGGAGCCCGGCCGGTGTGGATTTTAGCTTTCATTAATTTTTTGGCCGACTAATTGTCCAAGATTTTATTGCGCAATTTTAAAGGCTTTTTACTCTTTGCTTTCCTTTCCTTTCCTGTTTTAGTTTTTCTCTCCCTTTTTCTGTTGTGTGATTTCTTTTTTGCTCAACAGAAAATTAGAATCAACACTAGTACATACCTTTGTTTACGAAACACGAGTCACTTCGTGAATTGTGACTCAGTTTTCAGCATCATTTAAGTAATTAAGTATTATAATAACTACTAGTCTTTCGTGTCCAGCTCTAAATATATATTATTTATACCAGGGATGTATAGGATGTATCTAAAAAGGGGGGCACCGAACAATCTAGATATTTTCGTTATTCAAGCCGTACTCAGAGCTGACTACATATAATATTTGCAATTTCGGTGATATATATATATTCCCACACGTGAATTTAGGGTATTTTACATAACAATGAAAATATTGATAATATTGGGAACTATACGCTACAGTACATGCATATATTTACCTATATAAAATGAGAACCAAGTAAAACTACATGTAAAAATACATCACAACATATAACCAGATTATAGTTATTTTACACTTATCTCTTGTCTGGGAAAATCCCATACTGACCTTGAATGTCAATTTACTAATTTGCGCAATGTCTAACTTGCGCGACACTACATATTACAGAAGAGGCAAATCTTGTTTGTGGGATAACAGCTATTTCACTAGTATAGCAATGTCGTTTGAAAGCCTGTTTAGTTTTAAAAACAATTAATAGTTGTGAAATCTGAAGCTAGAATTAACCACTGCAACATTGTTGCAGTTCCGCCAGTTAAGTTTTGTATTAAGAATAATAACAACACTTTGAAACACTAAATACTCAGTAGAATCTTTTATTTCAATGCAAATTATTTCTATATTTCTGCAACAGAGCATGCACATACATAAATGTATATGCTATACATATATACATACATTTGGAATATATGCAAACATTCCAACCGTCCCGGTTTACCCGGGACAGTCCCGGTTTGGACTATGTTGTCCCGGTGTCCCGGTTTTCTTCTTATTGTCCCGGTTTCTGTAGTATTTTAATAGTTGTATTCTTTAAATAAGGCTCA